AATTAAAATTTATATATATATATATATAGATTCATATATATTAATTTTTATATTAATTTAACATTTATAACATTTTGATCAAAGAAACTTTATTTATTTACATAAATTTAATGGTATTAAATTTTGTGTAATTAATAAATTAGTTAGATCTCTAGATCAACATAAAAATTGACATTCATAATATATATAAATAGAACTTTCTATCAACAGTTAATTTTTAAAATATTAATTAAAATATGAGTTTCCAAATAAGTTCTCTAAAAAAAATTTAAAATAGCGATCTAAAAAATACTTTTCATATATATATATATATATATATATAACCACTTTGTATATACTATGCTTCTATTTACGTTTAGATTGCAATAATAATATATTTCAAGACAATGATTCATGCACTCGCCGATTTGACACCTGACAGGTGCACATTCTATAAATTGAACAAATTATACAAGTAAAATTACAAATTTACACTTAAAGCCATCTTCTTCCTCACAATACCCCTTTTTCTTCTTATCTCTCTGTCTCTCTCTTCAATAGTTCAACACCAATTTCTCAACTTTCTTCCCCCTCCCTCTTTTCTTCCCTCTTTTCTTCCCTCTCTTTCTACCTACTGAAATGAACAAGTTCTTTAACACTTGGGTTCGTGAAGAAGCCAACACCTAGGTTCAAATTAAACCCATATCTAGGTTTAAATTGAACCTAGATCTAGGTCCAAATACTTGGGTTCATGAAGAACCCAACATCAAATAAGAGAAATAACATGCCACAAACCGACAAAGAAAACGAGACCATAAGAAAAACAGATAAAAAAAATTAGCTACTATTCTAGGCAAGAAATCAGAACCTACAAAGCTCCAAATGAAAAACTGACTGTTCATAATATAGATCAATGTTCTTGAACACCCAAACAAAATTTCAACTTAATTCAATGATGAACTTTTGCAGATCGAACAAAATAGCAAAGTTGCACACACTATCAAAACTGCAAAAATTTCCTCTTTTTTCTTTTCCCTTTTTTGCCAATTGGCTCCACTCACATGCATTCCACTTTATGCTATATCATCCCAAAAACAGACTTGTTTTATGTGTCTAATGGGCTACAAAATCAAGGGTTAAATCGAGGATGATTTTATGAGAAAATGAATTATTCATCAAGATTTGTGTTGCTGTCATTTGGGAAATGAATTTCCACTGATTTGGTGTTGCTATCATTTAAGAAACTTACTCAAGATTCTGATTTAATGCTTCAATACTTGATTGAGTTTTGCTGGGATTCAAATGATTTGTTGTTGCTATCATTTGGGAAATGGGTTTTGCAAGGAAGAAGATGACTTTAAAGGTAAATTTGTAATTTTACTTTTACAATTTGTTCAGTTTAAAAAGTGTGCATCTGGCAAGTCTCGAACTGGCAAGTGCATAAATCATTGTACTATATTTTAATCTTAGATTCCCCTAATCTCTTAGATTAATTATCATAAAATGACACACATCCCCACTTTTGATCTTACTATATGAAGAACAAGTTTTCCAAGTTGTAATAGCTTG